TATTATTATTATTATTATTATTATTATTATTATTATTATTATTCCAGAAAGTGGAATCTGATGTACATTTGTTACAAATGAGTAATGGAGATGAGATGGGCTGAACACAGGGAGATGGATGTACATAAAGAATATGTAGAAGAGTGTTTGCCCCTTCTCCCCCTCTGCTCCTGGACTTTATCCCTGGCTGGTCTGGAGCATCCTATGTAGACCATGTTAACCTCAAACTCATAGCTACTCCTACCTCTGCCTGCCCTGGTATGTGCCACAACACCTGGCAGTTACTTTAGGAGATCTCTCAGTAAAGCCATTTACAAAGCAGTGTGGCCACATGAGCCTGGAACAACCCCTATGTTGTGGGAGGCAGAGACAGAAGGGTCACTAAGGAACTCTTAAACTGAAACTTTACAAACCAGTCCTGCATCTGCGTTGCTCTCTCAGCATTCTTATCTTCCAAGCTCCCACAGAACAGACTGCAGACAGTCACAGGAACTGTTGTTGATGGCCTCTGTCGGTGTTCTGCAGTGCTGAGGGTTAACTCAGTGCTGAGTTGCACCCCTGGCTCAGCTGTATTTATGATATAAATTGTGTGTTTTCAGGTATCTGGGACCAGTTGCTTATCAGCTCTAAGCCTCATCCCAGGAAGACCTCTACTCTTCAAACAGTTCGGATGCAGAGGAGCCCTTGTAAGTGCTGCCTTTCCACTCTAGGGGAGCACTTTCCCAATGTAGGCTAATTAATCCTTTGTTTGATGGGATTGTCTTCATGGCTCATATCAAACTGTAGAGTCAAATACAGTAAGTCTTATAGTGAGTAAGTCATTGTCTGTGGAATAGGATTTCTCACCTTAATCTCTTGCCTGCAGTTTTTTCAGAATATATTTTATTTTCTTTTTGAAACTGAAAATAATATTGCTGGCTGAGTCAGATGTCCCACATCTGCAGTTGGAAAATGGTAACAGAGTTTGGCTTGGGTAGTTATCAAGACTTTACTTGTTTGAAAAAGCTCTTATTGTTCACATGCTTTGGAATATTAAATATGGTTATGGAGACCAACAATATTAGTTAACTGTTTTGTTTTGATATAGTCCGTGTAGCCCCTGTAGTCTATGTTGTATAGAAGTGTTCTCAGAACTGGAGCATTCCCTTCTAAATCAAAACATTTTTTAAAATGGTGTAAGGATGCTCTTAAGATACAGAAAGTAAGCCAGGAGGTGGTGGTGCGAACCCTTAATCTCAGCTCTCAGGAGGCAGAGGCAGGCAGATCTCTTGAGTTCCAGGCCAGCCAGGGCTACCAAGAGAAACCCTGTCTCAAAAAGCAAGCAAGAAAAGAAAAATAGCTATAGTCAGTAAACACCCTTTGGAAGTAAATTTACAGGATTCCCTAAGGATTACACCATCGGTAATAGGAGAAACCTAGCTGCTTGTGGCCCCAGCAGAGAGCTGCAGGGAGGCAGCCCAGTAAATTTACTGATTCACTAAGTTACTCTTTGGAACCCCATCTAAGTGAATACATGTTACTTCATGACCCCTTAAGGCTTCACTTCACATACCAAGCTAAACTAGAACTCTGTGTAGCTCAGGCTGGCCCTGAACTTATTGTGTCCCTGCTGCCTCATCCTCTTGAGTTGTGGGATTACAAGCATCAGTTTTGCTCACAGCTTTACATGGTAAATCCTAATAATAAAATAACCTAACAGAGCCAGCCCTCTTCGTTAATCACACTACAGTATTGATGAATTGCATGCTCAAAAGTGTGCTCCCCCTCATGGAGATTGTTGAAATAGCTTTCATAAAATCATCAATATCTGTGAAAAAATTTCATTTTTAGAAGGTCAGTTGAGATCCTCAGCCTTCCCAGTGCTCCCCACAGTAATGCTCCATGAGTCTTTGCTGGTGTTGCTACAACTTGAAACTGGTATTTTTTGCAGGCTGTGCAAGCACTCGTGCTGAACTATATTCCGGTCGTTTCTCTTCTTTTTTGAGACAGGGTTTCTCTGTGTAGCTTGACTGTTGTGGAACTCACTTTGTAGACCAGGCTGGCCTCAAACTCAGAGAGATCCTCCTGCCTCTGCCTCCCAAGTGTTGGGATTAAAGGCGTGAGCCACCACTTAGAAGCAGAATTTATTTTGAGATGGGGTCTCTCTAAGTTGCTCAGGTTGGCCCTGAACTCCCTCTGTAGCTAGGTAGGCCATGACCTTGTGATCTTTTCTCCTCCTACCAAGTATCTGTGCTGTATGGACCTTCGCCAAAAGGCCAAGCTAGTAATTTACTTTTTTTTTTTCTTTTTGAGACAGGGTCTTACATAGTCCAGGTTGGTCTCAAACCTTCACTGTGTAGTTGAGAATGACCATGAACTCCAGATTCTCCTATCTCTCCCAATTTTAGAATTACAGTTATGTGCTGCCATGCCTAGCTTTAGTTAGCCTTTTTTCCCCCCCTGCTCCTGGACTTTATCCCTGGCTGGTCTGGAGCATCCTATGTAAACCATGTTAACCTCAAACTCATAGCTACTCATACCTCTGCCTGCCCTGGTATGTGCCACAACACCTGGCAGTTACTTACTCTAAGAGATTGCTCAGAGTAAAGCCACTTAAAAAGCAGTGTGGCCACATGAGCCTGGAACAACCCCTATGTTGTGGGAGGCAGAGACAGAAGGGTCACCAAGGAACTCTTAAACTGACCTGAAACTTTACAAACCAGTCCTGCATCTGCGTTGCTCTCTCAGCGTTCTTATCTTCCAAGCTCCCACAGAACAGCTCACTCTGGTTTTAACAACCCAGAGTTCCAAAGTTCTTCCACAATCCTCTTAAAAACACATGGTCAGGTCTGTCTCAGCGATATATCACTATTGTGGTACCAGTTTCTGGCCTAGTTAGGGTTTCTTATGTGATGGAACATTATGACCAAAGCACTTTGGGGGGGGGGTTATATGGCTTACACTTCCATATTGCTGTTCATTGCTGATGGAAGTCCACACAGGAACTCAATCAAGTAGGACAGGAACCTGGAGGCAGGAGCTTATGCAGAGGCCATGGAGGGGTGCTGCTTACTGGCTTGCTCAGCCTGCTTTCCTGTAGAATCCAGGACCACTAGTACAGGGTTGGCCCTCCCCCGTGGAGCACTACTTAAGAAAATGTCCGGCAGCCAGATCTTGCATGAGTTTTTCTCAGTTGAGGGTCCCTCTTCTCAGATGCCTCTAGCTGGTGTCTAGTTAACTAGACGAGCCAACATGGTAGTGAAATCGGATGTGTGTGTTAGAATTCTGAATTGCAAAGAGAGTGAAAGCTTGGAGTTAAAGGAAAAACTTGGCTGCTTTTTTTTTGAAATGAAAGAACCCAGAGTCAGAAACTGTAAGTTTATTAATCTGGTTGCATGCATGTTTGCTTTCCACAGTGTTAGACCAAGTTCAGGCCTTTCTCCCACAAATGGCCCAGGCAAATGAAAAGCTACGTAAGGAAATGGCAGTTGCTCCAGTTGATCGCTTCAATATTGAAAATATTGATGGGACATCCGGAAACATCATACAGATGGTAACTGTGCCCTATTTCTGTTTCATGTGATGGAATTAGTGTACTTGTTACCAAAACAGGGAAAGAATGATGTTTCAAGGTAGCAGGTCGAATTTAGCCTGTTGGTTATAATTTGCTGGCCCTTGGTCAGAAATGTAAATCTCATAAAGACAAGAAAAGTAGAGTGTTTCTGAGACAGTGGGATTGGGGGGCGGGCAGGCCTCATGTAGCCCAAGTTGGCCTCATTGTCAGTCTTGCCTATCTCCCCACTGTTGGCTGGAATTGTATATGTGTCACTATGGCCAGTGTTTGTATTTCTTAAGTGTCCAGTGTGGTGCCTGACAGTCCAGTGGATCTCCACCTTAAGACCATTGGAAAACAGATATTTACATTATGATTCATATAGCAAAATTACAGTCATGACATGGCAGTGAAAATAATTTTATGGCTGGGGGACACTATAACATGAGGAACTATATTAAAAGGTCACAACAGCATTAGGAAGGTTGAGAACCATTGCTCCATTTTTTGTGTGTGTGTATGTGTGTTGTTTTGTTTTTCGAGACAGGGTTTCTCTGTGTAGCTTTGGAGCCTATCCTGGCACTCACTCTGGAGGCCAGGCTGGCCTCAAACTCAGAGATCCTCCTGCCTCTGCCTCCTGAGTGCTGGGATTAAAGGCGTGCGCCACCAACGCCTGGCCCATTGCTCGATTTTTATTCAGAGAATGCTGTTGAATGTATACTCGGCAGGAAGAACCTTTTTTTCTTTTTAAAATTTTATGTACATTGGTATTTTTCCCTGCATGTATGTTCCTCTGTAGTTATAGACAGTTGTGAGCCACTGTGTGGTTTCTGGGAATTAAACCTAGGTCCTCTGAAAGAGCAGCCAGTGCACTTAACTGCTGAGCCATCTCTGCAGCCCAGGAAGAGGCTTTTTAAAGACATAAGTAAAATAACATCCTTCAAACTGATGCTGACTTTGCTCTTACGATATATTTTAGCCCCCTAAAACATGAAAGTGCCATTGTGTTAAGCACACAGCCAACCTGTGCTCCAGAATTTATAATGAATACCGGTAGCTTCCTCTGTTGATTTTAAGAGTTAATCTGTTAGTATGTGTCTGCCACCTATGTGGGTGCCCATGGGGGCTGAAGAACCAGAGAACTGGTAGACTTCCTGAAGCTGGAGTTGAGGTCATGGGTGCTGAGAACTGAACTGGGGTCCTCTGGAAAAGCAGTAAGCACCCTTACCTCTTGAGTAATCCCGGCAGCTAGCCATATTGCTTTATTAGAACATGTTACAGAACTGCCCTGAAGTAGATTTCTCAAACTGACAATTTTTTTTTTATAGGATGTGGCCTTATTTGAGATGAATCAGTCAGATTCAAAAGAAGAGGAGAGCTCAGAAGAGAGCTCACAGGATGGGTCTGAGAACAGTGCAGAGTCTGAAGATGAAGACTGCATCCCCTCTGAAGTCACCATAGACAACATAAAGCTTCCACATGCAGAAGGTGGCAGAGGCAAGATTGAGGTTTTAGACAGTCCGGCAAGTAAAAAAAAGAAGCAGTGAGATAGACCAATGAAAAGAGGCAGGTGCTCTCCACCTGTGACTTGTGGGGGAAGGTGGTTCCTGGGGTGATGGGCTTCAGGGTCCCTGTGGTACCCTTTAAGTGTCAAAACGAAAACTTCATTAATCTGGGCATCTTCTAAATAGAAAGTGACCAGAGCTTGACTGCAGAGAGGGTAGTGCCCTTGGACATTGAGACATGAAATACGGAAGAAGTAACTTGATTTGTTACATGCAGGCATTTGCCCAAGTTGACATGGTCTGCACAGTGGCCTGCGACTCCGTGAAGCTCATCTATTGTGAAGCTAAAATAAGGCTCTTGGTTACAAAATTAGGTACCAAGGCAGATCGCAGTTCCTTGTAAGGGAACTGGGTACTAGAGACCACCCAGGATAATGGCACTCTGCCATTTAAGGTGTGATAGTGGCTATATTTTATTCAAGGAAATCAAAGCTGCCTCTTAAAGATTTGTAAGGTGCAGCATTCAAGTCCAGTAAGGGCAGACTGATCTTTGCTCTTACTGTAAAGAGGTTTAGTGTTTACAAATCTATATCTGTGCTATATCACTGTGTTGCTGTATGAATATGAATTCATGTAAACATTTCCTTCAAATTGTAATGGTACTGACACCTTATAGGATGACTCCATTTCTCCAGTTGGTTATCTTACAGTGGTGGGTGGCTTGAGTAGCTGTTCTGCCTCACCAGTCAGGATTGTTTTATCAGGGCTAGCAAGTGCCAGAGGTGGGAGGGTGAGCCATGCCTCCAGGAGGCTACTTGAGTATATGAACCATGCCCCTGTTACCTGGAGGACATGGTAACAGCGCTCTCGCACTTATCCCAGTGGTTTGACATCCTGTGTGTTGAAGCTTACATCCTTGCTGCCTCTAAGCCAGGGTCTCTGGTTGGTCCTCCTGGCAGCTGCTCCTCCACAGTAAGACAGGTTAGGGTATTAGGCCTGGACCTAGTTTCCTACCCTCCGGCTCTTACACCTTCCTGCACCTTCTTCCTCCTTAGTCCCTGAGCCTTAGAAAGAAGTATTATGCCACACAAGAGGAAAGACTGCAGCTGTGGATGCATACTCCTAAAGTGATACAGGCTGTCAGTGCTGCTGTGCCAACGCAGGCTGTCAGAAGGGCACACAGCTCCATGGTACTGACCTAAGCCAGTGGTCATAAGCATCCTGCAGGTCTGTGTAAGAATCATGTCCTAATTGGGTTTTCTAGTGCTGCACACAGATCCTGAGTATAGCTGTGCATATACCCAGGGCCAGTCTGTAGCCTGTCTCTTGACTTAAGAAACAACTGTGGAGGTATGGTTAAGAACTTGACAATACTCTTAGCCCCAGGACTTTGCTTATGTTGCTAATACAGGGCCCCTGCTTAGGGACTAAATACATAAGTAGGTGTTCCTGTGACAAACATGGTGGCTTCACATCTTGGTGAGTGCCAAGCTACAGAGCCACAGCTGAGGCATAACACTAAAGCATTCTTTTTTTGGGGGGTGGGGTCCTGAGACAGGATTTCTCTGTGTAGCCCTAGTTGTCCTGGAACTAGCTCTTGTAGACCAGGCTAGCCTCGAACTCAGAGATCTACCTGCCTCTGCCTCTTGAGTGCTAGGATTATAGGTGTGTGTCACTACTGCTGAGCTGAGTAAAGCATTCTTATTACCATGTACAGGACAACAAAGGTCATAAGTAGTTCTGAAACTGGACATGCTCCCACCAACAAAGAGACGCTAGGTACTTCATTTGGGAAGCTTATACATAATCATACAGGGAAGGCATGTTGGAGACCGATACATTTCTTCCAGAGCATACTCAGTTATAGTTGTAGCTCAAAGAGGAAAGGTGACAGATAGGAGGGAGCATCCTTGAGGGGAAGCCTACATTGTGAAGATGGTTGGGGAAAGTCCTGGGGTGCTCTTAGGCCTGCATCACAAACACTGGGTGAGTGTCAGTGGCTGCTTTGGGATAATGCAAGGCTGGAAAAGGTGGCTGACAGCTCAGAGAGGGATTTGGAGGAGTTCCCTCATAATACAAATGTTTGCTCTTTATTGCACCTGTAGTACCCTTTTGAAACTCTTGAGGCAGCCACCATGCCAATCGTAGTGTCTGATTCTGTCTTTTTAGGCACAATGAGCATTAATCATATAAATGCCCATTTTGGCATTAGTTTCAATTTCATGATGCCCAGAAGGTAGCGGGTTTAGGCCCGGTTGTAGTTTGCTCTCTACTAGAAGCAAATGTTTAGAACAGGAGGCAGAGAGTGAGACTGGGCCTGGCTGGGCTTTTGAAAACTCAAAGCCCACCCCCAGTGACACACTTTTTCCAACAAGGCCACACCTCCTAACACTAAACGGTTCCGCCAACTAGGACCCAACATTGAGATGTATAAGGACCATTCTCATTTAAACCACAGTAATTGATTGGGTATATACATATTTAGCAAAGCAGTGGTGGTAGTCTTGTCGTTTGGGTATACCGTTTTAGCCCCAAGTTTCTGACCTGAGTTTAAACATGAGGAGGCTGGACATAAAACTGGAAGAATGACTGTACCTGTGCTGATTGCATCACCACTGAACATGCTGTTCCATGTGTAACAAGCAGATGGTGGAATACTTGGGTTCCTTTGCCAAGGGAGGCTGTAGGAATGGGCTCCCCCTTGTGGCCTATCTGGATAGTAGCCCCTGATGCTAACCACAGGGATGGAGCAGTGTATCCTGGTTTAAGCCCAGGTTGGTCTCCTAAGTCAGAGTATGTGGCATCTTCAGAAGTTGGGGAAGACCTCTGGTATACCTCTGTATACCTCTGGTATACACCCAAGTATAGTGACAATAGTAGGTACCGTGTAGGGTCTTTTGGGGTCTATTTCCCTGGCCAACAACTCCTAGGAAGGTAGACCACCACTGGCATTGGAGTTTTATTTAACAGCCTTGTGGTTCTGGAAGCACCATTTATGCACATGGGTTGTCATTTTTTAGGCATCAGCTGCCACTTAAGTGTTTGTGCCATCTCTGTAGTCTAATTTTCTGGCACCTTAGAGACTTGACAAAAAGCTCTCCAACATCCCTTTTCAGACATGGTTTTACAATCAGTAAAGCAGACCCTGCTGGATCCCCCTGGCTTCAGGGTTTCTCTCTTTGGCAAGCAGTTGCTCCAGTATTGTGGGTATTGGGTTTACACCCCACTGTGACAGGTATATCACTGAAATTGTCTGTTCAGGTGGGTTAGGCCTTAGGACCAGTTACATCGAAGGTAAACATTAGGGCACTAGGCACACGGTTGTTTAAGCCGTCCCACAGGACTCTTAAGTTGATTCAAAACTTTGAGGGACAGGGTCATGTTGGGGGAGTTGGAGAATATTGGAGTGCAGGTGATCAAGGTGGATTGTATGAAATTGTCAAAAAATAAATATTTTTGAAAAAATATTTAAAGCATCTGGTGGCACATTCTGTAGTCCTAGCATTCAGGCTGAGACAGGAGGATTGAGAATTGAGGCCAGCCTGAGCTGTACAGCAATACCGAGTCTGCAAGGAGAAATGGCCATGGATCCCCCTTGTGTCCTAATTTCATGCCGTCCCATCAGGTTATGCAGGGATGGGCAATTGGGGGGGGGGTGTTAATTGGTGCCCCAGAAGTCCATTGCTGCAAGGCTGCTGCAGGACTTTTGTAGTGACCCTATCATACTGGTTATTCACTAGCTATTATGTCTATCTACAAAACCACAATGTTGCTCCTATTTGAATAAATGTGTTCTCCATCTTCCCCACCCTCTCAGTACCCCTGATCTCATGTCCTGTTTGTCCTGTCTGTCTATCCTCGTCACCAATTACTACTTTCGAGTTCGTTCCTAGAGTTTAAGACTTTATATTTGTTTATCTTACACATTATAGGTTGGGACCCATAGATGAGGGAAAGTATGCAGTTTTTGTCTGAGTTTGAATCACCTTATTTAATATACTTTGTAGATATGCCTGTCTTTCCTGAAAATTTCATTTTTCTTCACATCTAAATGATATTCTATTTTTTGTTTTCTATTTCTCTTTTGGTAGACACCTAGACTGGCTACATATCCTTGTTATTATGGACATAGCAGCAGAAAATGTGTATGTGCAAAGGGCTTTTCTGCCGGCATATGGGGCTCTTGGGTATAGACCAGGAGTGGTGTAGCTGGGTCATGTGGTAGATCTAGTTTTAACTTTTTAAAACACCTTCATGTTTTCTGTGATGGCTAAATTCATTTACACTCTGATCAGCAGTGAATAGGATTTCTCTTTCCCACACCCTGGCCAGCATGTGTCACACTTCCTGATAGCTATTTTTACTGAGGTAAGGTATTACCTGAAAGTAGTTTCAATTACACTTTGTTGATGTTTTGTTTGTTTTGTGCTTGAGACAGGGTTTCTCTGTGTAGTTCTGGTTGTCTAGAACTCCCATTTGTAGATAGGTTGGCCTCAAACTTTAAGAGATCCACCTGCCTCTGGCTCTGCCTCCCAGTGCTGGGATAAAAGGCATGCACTACCACTGCCTGGCTGAACATTTGTTTTGTTTTGTTTTGTTTTTTCCTTTTAAATAATTTTGGGCCATGTGTTTCTGCTTTAGAGAACTATCTGTTCATTAGCCCATTTGTTGATTAGCAGTTTTGCTTTTTTGGTGTTGGTTTGTTTGTTTTTTCAGTTTTTTTTTTTTTTTTTGTAAATTCTAGATATTACCCTTCTGAGTATAGTTGGTAAACATTTTCTCTCATTCTGTGGGCTCTTGATATCTTTTGCTGTAAAGAAATTTTGATTTCATGTAGTCCCTGCTGTTTTCTTAGGGATGATTTCTGTGCTGTTGGAATTATATTTAGAAAGTTCTTGCATGTACTAACATCTTAAACAGCATTCACTGTGTTTTCCTCTAGCAGTGTCAGGTTTTAAATTAAGGTCTTTGGTCTACTTGAGTTGGTCTTTGAATTATTTTTGGAGACGGGGTCCTTCACTGTGTAGCTGATGCATATCTAGAATTCATTATAGACTGGGCTGGTCTTGATCTCGCAGATAGACACACCTGCCTTTGCTTTCTAAGTGCTGGGAATAAAGGCATGCATCACCATGTCTAGCCCTGTGTCCGATTTTTGTACAGGATGAAAGGTAGGGATTAGTTTCATTCTTTGCAGGTGGATATCTATAGGCAGAGTAAGGAAGTTTGCTAACTCCCAGATTTAAAAATACCAAATAACAATGAAGGTAAAAAGCTGCTGCAGTCTTCTGCCCTGGAGGTGCAAGACGCTGCTCTCAGCTCTCCAATCACTACCCAAGAGAGTGCCAGCCTCCTTCCAGTCCACCCACAGCACCTAAGACAGTGCTCCAAAGTGACTGGTACCTCAAAGACTATTGGCTGAATGAGTGCTCTCAACAGTTCCCCCTTTTGTCTAAATAAGAGGGTTCTAAACCTAATATAAAACTATATAGGCAAAAAATAGAGATTAACCCAACAGCTGTCCTGTCCTGAGGAGTCTGTCTTGCACCTAAATGTTTTATTTAAGATATGAGGGGATAGTAGCAAAGACTAATCTTCAGCCCCATCAAAGCCCTGAGAAGGAAAATAATACTTGAGTAAGTAGGAAGTTCAGTGGGCAATTTACCAAAGGTTCAAGAAATGACAAATCAACTAGCTACCTGGACAGTCACCCAAATTCTCACAGGAATTTTGGGGCAGCCAACTTTGGTTAAGGCCTAGATTATCTGACAGACCATGCTGGATTCTCTGGCAGGTAGGGATGTGGAGGAGCCAGTCTCGCCAGTCGCTCCTTGGGGCTGAGAAGGGTGGAGAGTGTCAACGACCCAGACCCCCCTCCTAGTCACCTGAGACAACCACTCTGAGTTAGGAGACTTGTCAAAGCAGGATCTCATTTTATTACAATAGGCATGCACTTACATGGCATTGAGAAAGAGGGTGGGGATCCCAGGATGGAGTGAGGTGTAAGGGCCAATAATACTTTACCACATTAGCAACAGCTGGGCAGAGGCAGTTTTAGATTAGGTCTTGCTGAGTCACCCCTATGTGGAAGTGATAGGCCAAAGACAGGTCACCAAGCTCTAGCCAGGCTCAGGAAGTTCCACTGGGCCTCTTTAGACCCAACGTTTCCCCCTTTTGGTTTTGTAAGCACATGGGAAATCATGGCCCGTCTTAGGTTGTCCCCCATTGGGGATCTTACCCATCACTAGGTACCATGCATCCAGCTCACTGAGAATCCACTCTGTGACCTGTCTTCGGTTGTCCCAGCCTGTCTGAGATCTTACTGGTTAGATGGCTTAGGGATACATACATGAGAAGTTCATCTCCTGAGCAGTGAGCATGTGATAATGTGCTTCAACCTGATGAAGTTTTACTGCCTTTAACCATTGGTGAATGAATTGTGTAATCTTGTTAATCATGTCGGGGCCGACAGTGAGGAAGAGGAGAGGTCCAAGCAGAGGGAAGAGGTAAGGTAGGAAGCCATGTAAACCCACCCACAGTGGGTTGTCCTGGAGGTCCTGCCGTCTCCTCTGCAAGTCCTCCTGAAGCCTTTTGATTGTGTCCTGAACGATTCCCCATCTACTAGCGTAAAAGCAGCACTTTTCCGGTACAAACAAGTGTATATCTCCCTTTTCAGTCGTCAATAGGTCTAGTCCTCTTAGGTTTTGTAGGACTACATTAGTGGTAAGGATAGTACTGGACACGGCTTTTATGTCACTGATAATTGGAAAGAGCTTTTTATGGAGATGGGCTGCCGTGTACCTATCCCTGGTGTTCCAGCAGCCATACCCGAGGATATTCCCAATCCAGCAAGTAGAGGTATCATTTGTATAGCTCTTTGAGGTCTCCCTCCTATATAATCGAAAAAGGGCACAGGAATGGCTTCATCTCCAGGAATAATATCTACTTCTGTGATGGTATCATTGGTGGCCACTGCGAGTGGCCAGGAGGTCCAGACCGTAGGCAAAGCCAGCAACTCTGCAAGAGAGGGAGCCATTTGGTTTAACAAGACAAAGACCATTTGTAAAAAGGATTTAGTATGGAGGTTGATGGCCAGGTCACCCCAATTTTCAGGAAGGGCAATAGGGCGATAGTTAAGCTCTGGGTACTGGGCCAAAATAGTTGTTATATCCTTTTATGGACTTGTTGTTCCCTAATTTTATCTTGAATTCCCCTGCCATCTGAATAACCAATAAGGGGGCATGCTTCCAGCAGACAAGGGCAGAGTCCTGGCTTGTCTGCCACCATGGGTATAATTTTGGGTTTCTCTATGCATACACAGTTTTTAACTGAGGAGAATAGGGACCCAAAGGTATCCATCAGACTAACTGCTATCTTAGAACCACAGTCCACGTGATGGACGAGTCTTCCACTTACGGGAGATACCAAGTATGTTCCACTTTGGCAGTCACAGGGTTTCCCTGTCTGATGGGCCGGGATATCTCTGGTGTCCTGAGGGTTTCAAATCCTCCACTGGGTGAGATGAGCATCGCCAGAACCAGCAAAGGCAGCAGCACCCATGTCTCGAATCATTCCTGTGGGAGAAGCAGAGGCACAGTACTCAGGGGTGGAACACTACCTGGAGAAGTGATTGTCATTGTCCCCTTGTTGCGGTAAATATTTTAGGTCTCTTGCTGGTACCCGGATAGGTGTTTTTTCCTCTTGAGGGAAGACACATCCAAACCGTGCCGTGAGGAGGGGTTCGGGTCCTCTCTGGCCCAGTCAGTGGATCCTTCCATCTGACCCAGATAGAACTGTAGGTAATGGATGAGGACCATTGTTTTTGAAAAGGGAATAAATGTTTATCGTCTTTAGAAAAATTTAAAATATTTAGGGTTAATAATGCCTTTTTTAGTTGGTCATGTGTGGGTAAGGATTCCCCCTTTTGTTTTTGTAATTGAGACTTGAGGATTTGATTGTTTCAGTGATTGCCTGGCCTGGGGTGTTATGGGATGCCCGTGGAATGTAAGATTTTTCTAGGTTTGGAGAAAATCTACAAAGGCCTTGATTACAAAGCAGGGACCATTATCAAGGGCCCTCAAAGGGGGCTCTGCAAAGTCCACCAAATCTTCCTGTGCCGGGCCTGGGTCCTTCCTCATGTGTCCAGGCCAGGAGTGCATCCCTTCATGGGGGATGGGCTCTCAAAGTCCCTTCTTACACCAGGGAAAAATACTAATCCACCACCAGAGGCTCCCTGGAGTGCAGAGGCCTCCTCATTGACATCCATGTTCAGGGGTCTGGCATTATCAGTTTTGACTTGATCTAGTAACCCAGGGGTGGCAAAGTATTGAAGCATATGGCTAATAGCATGTTTAGCTTTTTCCCGTGTGTGCCAGTGACCAGCAGGCATGGGGAAAGGTATCAACCGAAAGAAAAATTTAAGTTTCCCAAATGGGGAATAATGTGTAACATCAGTTTGCCAAAGGTGATTAAGGCGGAGCCCTCAAGGATTGCTTCCTGTAGTTTGAAGGGGAGGTATCTGGAGGAAAGGCTGGAAGGACTCACAAGTTTGGACAATCTTTTTAAGGTCCTTAACTGGCACGTGTGGATACTTATGTTTAAGATCCCTCCAATTGACATGGGTCAGTAGGTAGAGGTGTGTAGATTCTGTAACAGTATTACATTGAGGCATAGAAGCCATTTTATTGGCCAAATTGTTTCCTTTAGAGAGAAATCCCTGCAAATTTTGATGACTCCTGAGATATTGAAGAAAAATGGGGTTGATCCTTTGTTTGAGTAGGGAGCAGGCTTGAGTCATCAGAGGAGATACAGGGTTGGAG